GAGCGAAACTCCGTCTCAAAAAAAAAACTAGAACATGTTCAAATCCTAATGTGACACATGTAGTATGGTGAGGTTTAACATGCAGCTTAATAAAGTTTAATACAAGTTTCTGTGAATGTTTAAAGCACAAACAAAAGGATTGGTATTTGTCATCAAGAGGAGGGATCCTCCCACCATTGTCTCAGGAGTAAAGAAGAAATGGATGGGTTGGTTTAAATTACCTGTTTGTTTACATACACCTAAGTTCACTGAGCAGTGGTTAGAATATGTGAACTATATAATGCTGTTTGTGTTTCCTAAGAGCTACTATGTGGGAGCCATTGCTAATTACTAACCAAATATTTATATTTGTATTCTTTATGAATAGGTCTTCAGTTATGCTAACAGTAGTATCGTATCTAGCTACAAAAGTACTTATCCCAGCCTCTTTGTAGCCAAGAGATGCCATTTCTACTGTTCCTGGCCAAAAAAAATATACACATGGGATTATAGGTTTCATGGTAAGGTTGTCTGCTAACAGGTGGGTGAAATACTGGAGGGAGGTTTTAGTGAAGAAGATCTCTATATATTTGAAAGTCCTTCGAAGTTATCAATAGGGCCATCAGTGGAGAAGGCACCAAAGCAACTAGCAAAGTCTAAGTGAATGAGGAGAGGCCATTTAAAAGCCAGAAGCAGAGGGAGAAAGTGGTATAACTAGATGTTATGAACCTCAAAGGAAGGAGTGATTTTTACAAGGCTACAATGGTTAGAAGCAATATTAGGGAGCAAGGAAGATACTGATCCTACTTTCTAACGTATAGATATATGGAATACATGGGAATAAGCCTCCCTTTGATGTGATGATTGTCAGGTAGGTGTTTTTTCCTCCCCAGGTAACAGCTGAGTTTAATGCAAGAAAATGTTCAGGAAAATAGTTGAGGATATTAAGGAAGTTTATTACTCGGGAATCTCAGAGGGCACCATGAAAGAGTCTCCAGAAGGGCAAAGGTTTAGAGTTTATGGCTTTGGCATGAGGAATACAGTATTGATAGAGGACAAAAGATCAGATTGGGGGCCATGACCAGTGAAAACAAAATTTAGGGGAAGTATAGATTAAATCCTAGCAGTCTATTAGATGATGGATACTTAGGTCTAACAGGATTCCTATGTAGCTTGGAAAGGAGAGCCTGCAATCATGCTGTGAAACCAAGTGTTTTTTGGTTTTAGGTGTTAGCAGCCATGGTGGGTACAGCACTAGCAATCAGTAGTTAGAAAATGGTCCCAACTGCATGTGGTCCTTGGGTGAGGAGATCATCTTCAGGAGTACTCAGCAAGGGATTGTGCTCTGCTTGGTTGGGATTGGAATTTACACTCTGATTTTGGCCCAGTGATCTTGGAACAGTTTCAGCATCTCAAATCTGAAAATCTGAAATTCAGAATGCCCCAAAACCTGAAACTATTTATGCACCATTGTGACTTTCAAAAGAAGTCCTCATTGGAGCCTTTAAAATTTTGGATTTTCAGATTTGTGATGCTCAACTGGAAGGTATAATGCAAATATTCCAAAATCCAAAGCACTTCTGGCCCCAAGCATTCTGGATAAGGGATACTCATCCTATACACTAGCAGGTAGACTGAGGCACAGTCTCACCTGGCATCTCACCTGGATTTTATTGCAGTAGCCTCCTAACTGGTTTCCTTGACTTGAATCTTAACATTGTTTTAGTATGTTTTCTATGCAGCTGCCATCATATCCTATTTTTTTTTAATTGTGGTTTTTAATTATAAAACTAATATATGCATAAGAAAAAACAATGTAAATAACTTCTGCCCTACACAGAAGGGAAACCCCAGATTCTCCTGCCTTAAAAAATTACTATTGTAGGTGAGTGTGCATTCTGTCAGACTTTATGTACATGCAAACATTTGTTTTCATTTTATAAAAATTGGGGACAGGTGCAGTGGCTCACACCTATAATCTCAGCACTTTGGGAGGTCAAGGCAGGCAGATCATGAGGTTAGGAGATAGAGACTATCCTGGTCATGGTGAAACACTGTCTCTACTAAAATATGAAAAAAAAAATCAGCCGGCATGGTGGTGCGCGCCTCAGGAGGCTGAGGCAGGGCAATTGCGTGAATTCAAGAGACAGAGGTCGCAGTGAGCCGAGATCGTACCACTGCACTCCAGCCTGGTGCAAGAGCAAGACTCTGTCTCAAAAAAAAATTGAGTTATACCTTTTATCTCACATCTTTTTTTTTTTTTTTAAGATGTAGTTTTGTTGCCCAGGCTGGAGTGCAATGGCACCTTCTTGCTCACTGCAGCCTCCCTTCCTGAGTTCAAGCGATTCTCCTGCCTCAGCCTCCCGAGTAGCTAGGATTACAGACATGTGCCACCATGCCCGGCTAATTTTGTATTTTTAGTAGAGATGGGGTTTCTCCATGTTGGTCAGGCTGGTCTCGAACTCCCAACCTCAGGTGATCCGGCCGCCTCAGCCTCCCAAAGTGCTGGGATTACAGGCATGAGCCACTGCGCCTGGCCTATCCCACATCTTTTTAAATATCTTTCCATGCCAGTGCATGTAGTTCTATTTCATGTCTAATAGCTGCTTAGTATTTCATTACATGCTTGTGCCATAATATATTTAATCCATTTGCCTCCAAAGTTTTTACAACAAACAATACCGCAGTCAGTAATATTGTTTATATATTGTGCTTTCCTATCGGCTGTTCTCTACACTGCTCTCAGGGTGATCCACCCAAATTACTAATCTGATCATATAACATTTCACTTTTAAATCTAACTCTGGCATTTTTCTCCAGTTAAGATAAAATCTTTTTACAAGACCTTACTCAAACTCTTACTTGCCTTTTCAGACCTCATCCCCTATTATTCCCTTTATCTTCACTGTCTCCCTAACTTAACCTGTCCTATTTATCCATTAGGTATCGTGTCATTTATCTGCTTTAACAATACTTATCACACTTTGACACACTATTGCCTGTTTGTGTATTGTACCCACTATACTGTAAGTTATGGTAAGGGGGAAACTTTGTCTAAATTTTTCATTGTTTTATTACTTGGCCCAGTGTAGGTGTTCACTTAAACATTTACAGTTCTTC